TCATTGCTCTCCACCCTTTCCTCCCCATATCCCAGGTTTCCATACCCCAGTAAATGGCACTACATTTGCTCAAGCAAAGAGCAGTCATCCTTAATGCCTTCTTTTCACTCACTTCTTTCTTTTTTTAAAGATTTATTTATTTATGCATATAGAACTGTGGTACAGTCCAGAGGTGGTGGGGTGGGGGTTGTATGTGTGAGAAGATTCACCAGAGACAGAGCGGGGAGCAGAACAGGCAGATTGACAAAGTACACAGCTAAGGAGAACAGAGGGTGATACAGCAGAGGTCTGCTGTGCCATGTGGTTCACCTCCCTGACCAGGGATCCAACTTGTGCTCCAGTGGCTACAGACAGCTTCACAATGCTGTACCTTAACCCATTGCACCACCAATCTGTAATGGTTCTCTCTATAATCTATCTGAAGTATTTTTCTACCCCTGAGTTTTTAAATTATTTCCTCCAAAATGCTATGTATTAAATAATATCAAAAATATCAGTAGCTTATACAATGATCCAAGGTCATAAAACAGCTTCAGTGAACATATTGAAGTGCTGGAAAGATGATGTGCCTGGAGAGGGCTTGAAAGCTCTGTGCCCTTCCCTTGAATGCTATATATTTCTTCCATCTGCATGTCCCTGATTTGTATTCTTTACAATAAACTAGTAAATGTAAGTAAAATGCCTTCCTGAGTTCTGTTTTATTCTAATAAAGAATTTAACCTGAGAAGAGTTTGTAGGAATCAGGGATTTATAACTAAACGTTTATGTGGCATCCTGGAGCTTGTGATAGGCATCTGAATTGGGGGCAGTCTTGTGAGATTAAGCCCTTAACCTGTGGGTTTTATGCTAATACCAGTAAGTGTCAGACTCAAACTGAATGGAAGGACATGTAGCTGGTATCTATATTAAATTAGAGAATTGCTTGATATGGGAAGCACATACTTGTTTGGTGTCAGAAGTGTAAGTAAAACAACTCATACTATTGTATCAATCGCTATTTAAGACATTACCCTGGCTTCCTTTCACAATGCAAGACCCTTACCCGGGCCTTTACAAAGGCCATCCATTATCTAACCCCACCTAGCTCTCCAAAAACCCCATCTGTTACCTCTCACATTCCTTTGGCTACTGCCTTTTTCCTCCAAAATATTCCAATGCTTTTAGGCTGTAAGATCTTTGTACTTACTATTCCCTTTGACTGGAATGTTTTTTTTTTCTCAAGATTTTGGTGTAATTGCTCTTTCTCATTCTTAGTGTTACCTCCTTAGAAAGGCTTCCCCCAACCACCATACTTATATACCCATTCCTCATTTGTCACCCCTTCCCCCACTATGGTTCATCACTCTCAGTTTTGTTTATTCCTTTCAGTGAATCACTCTCTAAAATTACCTTGTTCTTGTTTTGTCCATCATTGATCTCTAGAACATAGAGGGGTGTTTGGCACATATAAATTTAGTAGCCTCTAAAATTCCATTGAGTGAATATATGCGTTTTCCATTTTTATTTATTAGAATTAAGTTATTTTTATTAAGGCAATTTTGGTTTATAGTACTATGTGTTTTAGGGGTATAAGTTCACACTTCTTCAGATGTGTTATCATATACCATGCAGACCTCCAAAATACAAATAATCCTCCATCAGTTCCCTTCTCTGTTAGCACTCCAATCCCACCTTTCCCCTCTGGTAGCCTCAGTTCTGTAGTCAAATTTTCAGATTTTGCTCGTATCTATTCCTTTGTATTGTTTCTTTATTTTCTACATATGAGTGAAGTCCACTATTTGTCTTTCTCCTGATTTATTTTGGTTAACATAACCCCTTCCCATTCCATCCAAATTGTTGTAAAAGTTGGGCCTCCCTGCTGGCCTAGGGGTTAATTCTCAGCAGTTATCATTGCTGAAACCTGAGTTCCATCCCTTGCCAGAGAACTAACCCATATGTGGCTCCATATGTGGGTGAGACAGAAGAGGTCTGTCTTCTTTAAAAAAATTGTTGTAAATGACAGGATTTCATCTTTCTTTTAAATAGATGACTAATCTACTTAAGTGGATACCACTTAGCTGTCATTGGGCACTTAGATTGTTTCTGTAACTTGGTTGTTGGTAAGTAGTGCTGCAGTGAACAAAGGAGTAAATACATCCCTTTAAATTAATGTTTTGGTATTCTTGGGGTAAATAGCTAGGAGTGGAATTGTTGTGTCATAGGGCAGATCTATCGTTAATATTTGGAGAAAGTTGCACACTGTTTTCCATAGGGGCTGGACTAGGCTACATTCCCACCAATACTGTACATGCATTCCTTTTTCTCTAGAAGCTCATCCAAACCTGCTAAAATGGGCTATTCTCACAGGTCTGAAGTAATAACTCATTTTGGTTTAGATTTGCATTTCATGATAAGTGATGATGAGCATATTTTCATGTGTCTATTGGCTATCTGTATATCTTTTTTGGAAAAGTGACTGTTTAGGTCTTTAACCCATTTTGATTGGATTACTGTTTGTTTACTTCTTGTTGAATTGAATGAGTTCTTTCATATAGTTTGTAACTCATAGAGTTCCCCACTGTTAGAGAAATTCTTTCCTACTTTTATTTTCATCTTCTCATCCATAGATATAACATGTTGTTATATGAATTCAAATAAAGTCAACTCAGACGAATAATGCTATCAAAATGTCTTTGTTAGGGTCTAAAAACTTCCAGGCAAACTACAGATCTGAGACATATAGCAAGGATGGGGAGGGAGATGGATCAAAATAGGGGAGGGAAGAGCACAGACAGGGACTATGGTAACTGTTCAGAGTTGTGGGGAATTTATGAGGGGTACACCTGAGTGGAGAATTAAGTGTCATACAAAAATGAACAGCAGTGTAAGAAAATAAAACAGTTTAATCAAATAAAATTGGATCATCATGTCATTAAAAAAAAAAGTCTTGTTCATAAAGAAGGAATTAGGGACTGGCATTATTTCAGCATTCTTGCAAGTGTACTTCTGAGGCACTAATCTGTGGGAATGAGAAGTCTTAGTGAGATTCCTACCTCTAGTACTAATGAGCATGCTTACCTGGCTTGCCTGTTTCCTTATTCCATTCTTCAAATTTGCTAACATATGGAGTAACTTAAAATTTTGATTCATTGCCTATCTCCCCACCTCGCTCCACACCACTGTGAGCTTCGCGAGAAAAGCTTTTAAAGCTTTTAAATCACCCCAAAAAGGGATGATACTTTTGGTTCTTGTACTCTGCTGCTCAGGATCTCCAGCACCTCTTTGATGATAATTTTTTTAAAAAGATTTTATTTATTTGTGCATGCAGAAATGGTGTATAGGCCAGAGGTGCAAGAGCTGTAAGAGGATTTACCAGAAACAGAGTGGGGAGCAGAACAGGCAATTGACAAAGTACACTGCTGAGGGGAGCAGTGGGCGAGTCAGGAGAGGTCTGCTGTGCCATGTGGATCACCTGGGGCATGGGTGGGGGGGGTTGAACTAGCAGTGAAGCAACTGGCTTGGCTTAGCTGCAGCAATGATGAATTTTAATATTTAACTTTAGCCAGTATTTAAACTACTACTGGGTGTTTCTTTGGGGGAGAGAAAAAGTGGTCTCCAATGAGAGAGGAAATAGTCTCTACAAGATGGAACTCAACTTCATCAGAGCTTGTCCCATCATAGTGACATAAATGTTAAGCTGAATTCCTCCTGTGAAAGCTCTAGCATGAAAAAGGATTCACATCAACATGCAGACAGACAGATGGGTTTACAAATTCAGTTTTCTCTGGTACTGAGTAGGTGCTCTACCAATTGTGAAGTGAATCAATGAATAATTGAATAAATATCTCAAAAGAGAGAAGAAACCTGGGAAGATCCTGAATTTTCTCCCAGAGTAAGGTCACCTCACCTTTGTACTGCCTATGTTCCAAGACATAATGTGTCAAAACCTGCATGAGGTATAAATGTTTACTAGTTTTATTCATTCTCAGAATGGTTTCACTTATGTATTTGTAAACCCATCTTTCTGTCTGCATGTTGATGTGAATCCTTTTTCACACTAGAGCTTTCACAGGAGGAATTCAGCTTAACATCTGTCACCATGATGGGACAAGCTCTGCTGACGGTCCATCCTATATAGAGACTATTTCCTCTCTCATTGGAGACCGCTTTTTCACTTCCCTGGAGAAACACCCAGTAGTTGTTTAAACGCTGGCTAAAGCTAAACATTAGAATTTATCATCAAAGAGGTGCTGGGAGATCCTAAGCAGCAGAGTACAAGAACCCAAAGTACCATCCCTCTTTGGGGGAGTGGACACTTTAAAAGCTTATAATGTCAGGTTTTCTTAGTTTGATAACATTTACATATTCTGTGCTGGGTTACAGTTCATAAACCTTATTTATTATCCTTATTAATAACACCCTATCACAGTCTCTCAAAAGATCAACAGAGGAAAGTTTTATTGTATTAAAAATCCAATAAACTATATTCTTTTTTTTTTAACTGTGCTAGGAAGAGAAAGTCTTCCCTTAAGTTTGAACTGTCATGCTTTTAAATTGCTTAGAAGTTGATTACGTATGAATCTTCACATTAACTTGTATGTTTCTCATTTAAAGATAAAAGAAGGAAATTAGCTCATTAATTATTCAAAATACTTGGTGCAACTATTCCTTATGAATTAATCCAGGCACTTGGAAGACAATTACACTCAGTGTTAATATCACTGCCAGCATTTTCCAGTATGCTGCACTCCAAATACTATTGTGTTTTCATTGACAGCATTCACTATTACATATGCATAAGAAAAAGAGGTATTTTCATCGGAATTACAGTAATAGCATTAAGAGATTATAACTTTTTCCAATTTCCTTGGAAGAAAATTCACTTAAATTAGATTATTTATTACTTGACTGCTTTTCTGTATTGCTTGTGTGTTTAGGTAACTGGGGTCCATGAAAGTGTAAACTTCAGAATAAAAAAAGCTTTGATTTTATACATTAATGATTTCAAATAAAAGAGGAGTGCTAGTTTGTGCATCACTTCTTTCGAGAAAGTTAAGTCTGTTCTGCTTAGGAGAGATAACACTTTTTGTCCCTGTAGGTGGCCCCCCTGGTGTAGCCATTAGTTGCTAATTACTTGCAAACAAATAAACAATTAACTCCTCTGGCTGCTGGCTGGGCCAGTGTTCATTGACATGCTAAAACTTTCTAAGACAGGATTTTAATTAGTGACGTTCTTAAATCCAACCCCCTTGTCAGCTGAGCCATAAGGTGAACTGCTGGAAGATCCCAGCCTTGTATACGTGGGGCAGCGCTAGCTAAGAGGCACTGTGAGGCCAGAGCTGCCGCTCCGTCCAGCCCATGCAAGGATGTCTCCCAGTCTTCAGGAAGGTGCTGGGCATGGGGAAGGCAAACCCTCGTCCTGCTCCTTTTCAATTGAGAGCATCTTGGGCCTGGATCAGAAGAAAGACTGTGTGCCATCAATGAAACCCCACAGACCTTGGACAGACACCTGTGGCTCCTCAGGTATGCACCAATTTAATTTTTTTTTAACGCTTTGTTATTTCATTCTCAGTGTTTAATTTGGCTTTTATTTCATACTGCATAAAGTCAGAGAGAAACTAAATAATGACATCAGTAATGATATTCAGAGGCCAAAATATTTTCTGTAACTAAAGCTTTGATGAGAGGTTTTTTTTGTGTGTGAAACTAAAAGAATAACATGTAGGAAATTTAAGAGAACTTCCTAAAATTACTTCCCATAGAACTCTGTGCAATGTAAAGGTGGACACCTATTTAAGGTGTATTTTTCTGTTTTTAGGGAAAGATGTTAACCTATGTCTACATGTCCTGAGCCTTCCTAATGGAATCTCATTCCCTAGTACTGTGGATAACTCAATGCCAGAAGAAAGAGTTTTGAAATATGAAAATTACTTTTCAGTCTCAGAGAGACTGTCTTTGAAAAGAGAGTTGAGTTGGTATAGAGGCCGAAGACCAAGAACTGCCTTTACTCAAAACCAGGTGGGAAGTTTTTTTAACCAATAATGATAATAAAAGGCTTTAACTGATACCCTGTTGAGAAAAAGTCCACTCACTTTGGGGTCTCAGTTAAGAAGCCTTATTCATGACACAATAGCCTATCATTTTTTAAACGGTTCCTAGATAATCATTAAAAAAAAAAAACATACAAATTAATTGTTCAAGACTTACATGCACTTACTTTGTTGTACAAATAAAATCATCCATTTTATGATGATGAACCGAATATTAACATTTTAAAGGATGATTTCCTTATTCTTAGATTGAGGTGCTGGAAAATGTCTTTAGAGTAAACTGTTACCCTGGCATTGATATCAGAGAAGACTTAGCTCAAAAATTGAATCTAGAAGAGGACAGAATCCAGGTAATTTTTAAATTTAGTTGTTACTCATGATGATTGAAATGTTAAGAATAATAAAATGTTTCTGAGACCTTTTTTATTTTTCCTTAATTTTAGATCTGGTTCCAAAATCGGCGTGCAAAACTGAAAAGGTCCCATAGAGAATCACAGTTTCTAATGGCCAAAAATAATTTCAACACAAATCTCCTGGAATAGATATAAAACTAAACATGTGAAATTATCTTCCAGATGCTATACATGAAGAACATGTGTTAAAGTGTGATGTTTTCTTTTCTGCATTTTAATTTGAGTATTGCCTTTTTTTCCTGAAAATATATTGTAAATAATTACTATTATAATAATGGCACCTATTATACTTGGGCACTTTTAGTTACAGTAAAGACTTTTCCTATATATTTTAATAAACATTTTCAGAAATGACAACTATTTTTCAAGTGAACAAATTTAATCTTATAAGTGAGTTTGCAAAATAAGTAAACTCATGACTAAGTGACTCCACTAGCAAGAAAATTCCATTTATAAAATATTTCAAGTAAAATAAACTGAGGAATGGCACAAAATTGAATTGAGTTGGGAATTAGTTGTTGCAGTTAGTTTCCTTCAAGTGCATTTTGAAACATTATCCTTAAATATGTTATAGAATGTGATTTATTCATTTATCCATGGATCTTCAGTTTAGTTTTTTTTTTTTTTTTGGCATAAGACAATAAGAATTTACCATGTACCAAAACAAATACTTATAGCATGCCAGCTTCAAATTGCTTTTTTCTTTTTT